GGAAAAACTGATTGCTTATTTATAAATAAGCAGAGTGAAATATTTAGTGAGTTGTTTAAACATGTGTCACACCTTGACATCCGAATTAAACGTTTGAAACATAAAAATTTTGAGATACTACAATTACTGAGTGCATTCTTTAGAAACTGATTTTTTTTGTTATATTAAAATTTGTAACATAATTACCTTTTTATTTGATATATATATATATATATATATATATATATATCAAATTTGCTATATAAAGTTCTAGCGAGATATTTTATCACAGAGGATACTTCACGCGGAAATAAATTGATACCTCTTTCACGATTTATTTATTACAGGACATATTTTTCTACGTCCGAGTCAATCAAAGTTAAAAATTATTAATTATATCCTGTAATTACGAAAACTTAATGCATTTAGACAGGATGTTTTTTAAAGTTTGAAATACTGCGAAAGGGGAAAATGTAAAAATGAAAGACAAGCCCATTACTTTCGGGTCGCTGACACGGGCCGCTTATTTATTTTCATCAGCATTATTTTCTCTCGCAAATATCCTTCGGATCTCTCCCCTGGAAAAAAATACCCCCGTGTTGTATTCTCGCGTACCGGGAGCGGAGAAACTCGCGCGACGTACCGGACGAAAAAAGAAAATAAAGATCGCGAACGCGCATACATATATACGGGCGCGTATACGGGGAGCGGGGAGGAGAGGAGACGGTTTGCGACAACGGGCCCCAATTATTATTTGCTAATTTTCACCAAGCGGCAATGGCGTACGTTCGCCGCGGCGGCGCGGAGCGACCAAATGCTAAATAATATAGGAACTTTCTACAAACGGCCGTGTGCGGCTTTCTATCGGCCACGGCCGGAATTGGAAAAATGCCTATGTGGGTCAGCGTCGACGCCGCCGCGGAATAATGTATTTCAGAAATATCGCCGCTTTCGTTTCTTGCTTGCGCGGGAAGCGTGGCGGGGGGAAAGGGGGGAAGGTCGCGCGCGCGTAAGAAAAGGGATCGTGGGAAAAAAGGACGACGTGCTTCCCTCCCCCC